TGGTTCCCTAACCTCTCGGCCGTTACACACGTTTTTTTTAAATGTATTTTTGTCCGTACTAACTACAAAAACGTCATACTGATTCAATTGTTGGAATACTTGTTCATACTTCTTTGAACACATTTGCATTACTTATTATCGTACGGAAGCTGAGATATTTCTCCTGCTGTCGCCACGCGCAATAAGGAATACCGACCCGTAAGTAAGTACCGTGTCTGATGTTTTTATTACTTGGGCAAACTACCTTTACATAATGTTGGGAAGTTTGCCTTTATGGCCTTCAAGAGACAAAATAAAACAACACTTGCAAGATTCTTTTAAAGGAAGGTATGAAAACGTACGTGGAATTCTTTATTGCACAGTACTGAAATGTGAGTTGCCCAAGGATTATCAGAAACACTCAAAAAATGTACTCAGACTATAAATCTCACGACACATTTAAAAGGCTCATCTGCATCACTGAGTGGATAGATAACATTTGTTAGTAAGTTGTATCCAGGAAGAATAAGTGATAAGGAAATTGTGGAGAAGAGTAACTTCTGTCAGTTATGTTCCCGCGAAAGAAATGAGTGTTAATGATATGTGAAATAAATCATATATAAACTGTGGAAATGATTTAATATTTTATGATTTATTTTATGATATATCATAAACACTCATTTCTTTCATGGGGACAAATGAACCCACAATTGACCTGCTCCTAACGTGAGTGGCTTCATAGCTCAGTCGGTAGAGCATCGCACCGGTATCGCGAGGTCATGGGTTCAAACCCCGTTGAAGTCCTGAATTTTTTTTTCAGGCTTCCTAACGCAATTGCATAAATTGCGTTCACTGCGACGATCATTTCTTCATTTTCAGCATAGTTAATTGAGTGGAATGGTTATGAAACCCGTCAGACTCCTTTGTTATATGTTTTTGTGGACCTGAAAGTGCACAACGTTCAAAAGAATTCCTATCATTTTGATTGTATTGACCAATAAAAACGTTGCGTTAATTTATTCCGTAACAATTTGCCAACAGAAAACAAAGGATTGTGCACTTTCAGGGTGCTTCCAACATAAACTGCAGCACTGTTGTTTTTAGCATTGATGTTTGCCGCTTTTCATAACCAGTCTCCTCTAATAACTATGTTTTCAGCTATGTTACTGTTTGCCACCAGAGTTTGCCACACTGTATTCTTACACTTCATACTGTTTTGTTGGCACTGTTGACAGGAAAATCCCTTCTAGTATACAAAAGAAGTGGACAATAGAAATACTCCTAGATCCTGTGAGTCACAGAAACAGGGGTAAACTATGTTACCCACATGTACCTTAACCATTTGCAAAACCTGCTACTCACTGGACCATCACATTCACATAAAAAAATTGATTTTGTCATTAAGATTTACCTCCTGGATAGTACTTTATCCACCTCTTCTCTCCTCTGCAGAGGCTCCCGCTGGGTATCCCGATAAAAATAGTAGTAATCGAAAAATAGAAAGCGCGCGGGGGACGATGGGAAGAGGGAAAAGGCGGGAGCGGTCTTTCCCCTTCCCATTGTGCCCCGCACGCCCCCTTTTTCGTTCTCTCCAGCCTCCCTGGTGTTTCGCAGTGTTTCGGGAATGACGTGGGGCAGTTTCTTTCTGTCACAGCGACATCGCTGAAAACCCTGTTTTTATGTGTGAACAGATGCCCTATCCTAAGTTTTTCGTGCTGGCGTAACAGCAAGCGGGTATAGTCACAGACTAATATCTGCCCATAAAAGTGTGCAACGGTTTCTAAGATGCCAGCCTCCTTAGACGTTTGTAGTCTGCTTTTATGCTTCTCAATTGCTTGACTGCGCTTTCTGAGTGAGGCTCAAATATGTATCAAACGTTTACAGTATTTACTGGAATATGCACCGTTCTTGGAAAACTACCGATCTCAAATATGCGACGCGTTTGAAATAAAAAAAAAATAGAAATAGTGTTATAAGAACGCCTGTTTGTAAAAATAGAACATAAAGTGGCAAGGGTGGACAATTCGATTTCTTTTATATTTTCATTGAAAATAGGCAAGGGAATAACTAAAATCACTGTATTGTTTTTTCCGTGAAAATCCTTTAGAGTCCCTTAGAATTGTCATTTGAGGCCTTAAATTATTACACGGATTTGCGAGTCTCTCTTACAAAACGAAGTCTTTATACCCTCTTTAGTACACTAGAGTCTCCTTTTTAAGACCCTTAATAACTGTTAAAATATTTTGGGAAAATAGTACGTTGTTGTTTCCGTACAAAACAATTTAATTTCTAAGGCATACAGTTTACTTCAGATAAATTTTAGCGTGAAAACATAATGGTATTCGATCGTTGAAGATTGGCGCGGCGTACATTGCAAGTCAAAAAACAGAGGTCGTCAAAGTTATGCAACGAACAACCGGAGAATGCTAAAGGGGCCTTAAGAGCGGTTNGTTTTTAGCATTGATGTTTGCCGCTTTTCATAACCAGTCTCCTCTAATAACTATGTTTTCAGCTATGTTACTGTTTGCCACCAGAGTTTGCCACACTGTATTCTTACACTTCATACTGTTTTGTTGGCACTGTTGACAGGAAAATCCCTTCTAGTATACAAAAGAAGTGGACAATAGAAATACTCCTAGATCCTGTGAGTCACAGAAACAGGGGTAAACTATGTTACCCACATGTACCTTAACCATTTGCAAAACCTGCTACTCACTGGACCATCACATTCACATAAAAAAATTGATTTTGTCATTAAGATTTACCTCCTGGATAGTACTTTATCCACCTCTTCTCTCCTCTGCAGAGGCTCCCGCTGGGTATCCCGATAAAAATAGTAGTAATCGAAAAATAGAAAGCGCGCGGGGGACGATGGGAAGAGGGAAAAGGCGGGAGCGGTCTTTCCCCTTCCCATTGTGCCCCGCACGCCCCCTTTTTCGTTCTCTCCAGCCTCCCTGGTGTTTCGCAGTGTTTCGGGAATGACGTGGGGCAGTTTCTTTCTGTCACAGCGACATCGCTGAAAACCCTGTTTTTATGTGTGAACAGATGCCCTATCCTAAGTTTTTCGTGCTGGCGTAACAGCAAGCGGGTATAGTCACAGACTAATATCTGCCCATAAAAGTGTGCAACGGTTTCTAAGATGCCAGCCTCCTTAGACGTTTGTAGTCTGCTTTTATGCTTCTCAATTGCTTGACTGCGCTTTCTGAGTGAGGCTCAAATATGTATCAAACGTTTACAGTATTTACTGGAATATGCACCGTTCTTGGAAAACTACCGATCTCAAATATGCGACGCGTTTGAAATAAAAAAAAAATAGAAATAGTGTTATAAGAACGCCTGTTTGTAAAAATAGAACATAAAGTGGCAAGGGTGGACAATTCGATTTCTTTTATATTTTCATTGAAAATAGGCAAGGGAATAACTAAAATCACTGTATTGTTTTTTCCGTGAAAATCCTTTAGAGTCCCTTAGAATTGTCATTTGAGGCCTTAAATTATTACACGGATTTGCGAGTCTCTCTTACAAAACGAAGTCTTTATACCCTCTTTAGTACACTAGAGTCTCCTTTTTAAGACCCTTAATAACTGTTAAAATATTTTGGGAAAATAGTACGTTGTTGTTTCCGTACAAAACAATTTAATTTCTAAGGCATACAGTTTACTTCAGATAAATTTTAGCGTGAAAACATAATGGTATTCGATCGTTGAAGATTGGCGCGGCGTACATTGCAAGTCAAAAAACAGAGGTCGTCAAAGTTATGCAACGAACAACCGGAGAATGCTAAAGGGGCCTTAAGAGCGGTTCGTCATAGCAGATTATAAGGTTACAACATTTTGAAATGTTTTTTCTATGAGCTTATTTTAACCTAATTGTAGTGTTAGTTAAGACATATGCAGGGACTTAATATTTGTCTGTCTCTCAACTTCAAAATTGACCCGTAAGGTCAAGTATCTGCATTTTTTTATAGTGGTCTGTAAGTCATTCTTTTACCATTTACGAACCAGAAGCTTGGTTGATTTAAAGGTTTCGCACATGGTGAAAATAAACTTTTCCCTCAACTTTCGACAACCTTACTTTCACGACTGCATATTCCTCGACAGCTTAGTCATTTTTAAGCATTGGTTAGATTTGTATTTAGGTTACGTTACTAGCCAAAGTTTTTTTCTGTATATGAAACAATAAAAACGAAAATAAGTTGAAAAATTCTTTGTCACCTTCATTTTGGGTTAATTGACTGAAGCATTTCAATCGATCGAATTCACAAGGCAGTAGTGTATGGAACTTTTATTTACAAATAAGTGATTTTTTTACCGATGTTTTTAAGCATCGTTTTTGACCAACAGAAGAAGAAAACGTTGACGTAATAAGTCATTTTCGAGTCCTAAAATATGTCGTTTTCAAAACGGGGCTAAGTGCAAAGCTTTTCTTTTTACAATGAGTTTTATTTGGATGAAAATAAAAAGTAATTTTTATATCAGTTACTTCGTAGTTAGCCTCGCTTTGAAACATAGGCTTAAGGGAACTCGGAAATGTTCTATTGTGTCCTAGTTCGCTTACTGCAACGAGCTCACACAATTTGTACCCTCCAGCTTGCTATCTACGTACTATGTTTCCACCTTTTCTCTAATTGTTCACTTGTGTTGTGCATTTTATATTATTCCACTTGTTACCCTTGACTTTTTCAGTTAAGCATGTGCGTACGTGTGTGTGCAGGTGTCTACGAACCTATCTGCACTCCAGTTCGGATCCAGTTTTAAATCGATGTATACGAGCTTCCTTGAGCAGATCAAGGCTGTTTTAACGCTCTTGGTTCTGCGCTTTCTTAACATTTGTTTACTGTAAATAATGTTAAGAAGGACGATTGATCATGCCAGGAACTGAAATTAGAAACAAAGCAAACGAGAAAAGGTTCCATATCACCGTCATTTTCTCTCGTTCCTCGTTTCCCGGATATTCTTTCTGGTTAAAAATCACACTTATCGCATTTATATTTCTAACTCATCCTTTTTTTCCATTTCAGTTGTTATCCTCCTCTTAGTTGTTCAACGACAGAAAAGTACAATCTACAAATGAACTTCTCATATCATGTTCTATGGTTTCTCGTGGTGGTTGTTTTAGAGGGGAAATCCATTGCCAGCACTAAAACAGGTTAGTATTAAATGATGATTTCCAATGTGATTTAACAATTTTGTGTAAGGGTGGTCTTTCAACAAAGGTCACCTGGATAAATAACAAATATTGAAGGAAAAAGAGCGCATTACACTGCTTCTGCCAAAATCCTTCAGGTTTTATTCTGCAACTTTACCAAGTAACTACTTTTAAACATTACGGGGATTGCCACATTTAAATGTAAAAGACTGCAAATTCGAAATCGATTGGGGTAGTAGTAGTTGTATGACGACCTCGTATAAAATGGCCGACTTATACACAGTATTTTCAGTTATGATCAAAGTGCTTTATTCATTCCTTTGAAACCATTTATTGCAGGCAAACCTATAATAACTCCGCTATTTCCAGTCGTTGAGACAGTAAAGGAACATTTATTGTCGTGCACCGCCACAGGAGCGCCTCCCATTCTGGTGAAATTGTTTAAGGATAACATAATTTTGGCAAGTGGAATTAACAGAGTAATTTCTCGACTAAATGAAACGGCCAAGTACACATGCTTCGCCAATAACTCATTTGGTACAGATTCTAGAAATTTCCAAGTTACCCTATTAGGTAAGTATAATACTTGTTTGTATTGGACAAATACAGAACCTTTATTAATCCGCAATAACACACATATTTACACAAACCTGAAGGCGGAGTTCTCGTTTAGTACAAGCCAATTAGTTGAAACTAAACTTTCGATAGAAGTTAGAGTGAACCGCTAACCAATGAAAAAGAAGCCAGCGTCCGAGCCCGCAATACGATTATTTCCTTGTTATAACAGCTTCCAGTTTTATGAAAGACCACTTGTCAAGGTAAGAGTGGGGTACTTTAGAAGATACTCATTCGTTTAATGCTACAGTTCTGCCGGTTTCGTTTGGTCAAACGATGACGACACTCATCAGGCGGTTAAACTGGCGGTTACTACTCATCGCACAGAATGAGTGGCCTACTTAAGACCAGCGAGCTATTGTTTTAAGTCTAGTAGGAATAACAATCGCTGTCAAAAATAACAATACGCTTCTGAAAACCACTCAGTTGTGAAGTAAGCCATTAGCTGGTGCCGCGAACTTTAAAATATCTATAAACTACTCGACTAAAATTATTAACCTAATAATCCAAATAATCCAAGTGTATGCGCTTCACTAGAGAAATGAATAGAACGAATAAAAGTTTACTTATCGACTTAGTAAATAATCACACATTAACTCGAAACTGTTTTCCTTGAACCGCGTAACCGTGACAACACAAGCAGGCTCTAACATCTCACGCGGGACAAACTTTTTTGACAAAACTCAAAGCAGTTCACAGGAGATTGTTGTTCAACCCCAGTTGTAAAAGCATCGTAAGATTTGATCAGGTTTAAACGACATGCTTATTGTTGTAGTCAATGGTAGAAAATATTTACTGACTGGCCTTTAAAGACTTCTAAGTTTGTGTAGTTATGCTCATAAGCACGCACTGATGAAGGTGAGATATTAGGAAACGAAAGAATAAACAAAAGCTCGCATGGTCTTTGTTTCTTTGCAAGGCGTTAATATCGCTACAAAGAAAACACTCCGCAGACTTCAACCATGAAAGCGATTCAGTTCATGCTTCACCTGTAATAATTCACTGGTACTAGCAGCTAACTGGCCCGTAGTAACAAAACTGGTTCCCGCGTCCAGATCCAAGTCCCCAAATTTCCTAGTTTGTTCGAGGCAACTCGACTTTATGAAATGCCGCAATACTTTTTAAACCTGGACAAGAAAGTTTTTATACCTGCCATATATAAAATAATTTACAAATTCAAACTTAAAAACGGGCTAACTGAAAATTAAGTCAAACTCTTTAATTGAATTTCAAGCCTGTTTGAACCAGAATTGAATCTGCGTGTAAACAAGCAAGTGAAAACACTTAATTAAATATCGTCATTAATATCAATGAACGAAAAATGATGTTCTGTGATAGATAAGGTGTTAAAATCATTAAAACCCACTTGTGGACCGCTCCAAACATCCTATTTTTTGCAATTTTTATATTCGAACTGGGCTTGCTTAAAGTGTGACCTTTGGAATTCTGTTGTAAACATCGCGACAACAGAGGTATAAAAGCCGTCTGTTGCCTTTTTTACAGAAACATATTCGTAGGCTTGTGTTCGATAAAATTTAGATCTTTCCTGTAAAGGGTGTTTTATCCATATTTTAAGTGATTTTATAGGTTATTTTAGGTTATTTCGCGTTTCTTTAACAGGGGGCTTGGTCGGGTGTCTTCGATTTCTCCTAGTTGATTTATTTTTATCGAAAAATTATGATATGTGGATGTTGAGTAGTTTAAAGGTACCTGAATGCCGTGGTATTACTTACCTTGTGCGTTTTCAACAGCACCCAACAACAGCGCGATCTTCAAAAGTCGCTATTCTCGGCCTGTAAATATGTCTTAATTCTGCCGTCAGATGACGGAAATCGTTTTGACCTGTGCATGGCAACAAGGAAAAGTAAGAAATCTAAAAGCTAACCCGGTTTTATTATATGCATACCAAATACGTTTTGTCCACGGAATATGAAGGAAAATTACAACAAAACCTTTGCAACCATCCTCGACAAGATATGAAAGTTGCTCGAAAACTTGTATTAGACCTGTTGGAAAGTGTGAGTTGCCTTGCTGGGCGCGTGGGAAAGGTATCAAGTATATTTTCAAGTGATTGATGAAAATTACATGCCCTTACTATGCAGATCCTCCTCTGAGAATGTGGGTCTAATCCAGCGTATAAAGGCTGTTGAAAGTGACAGCATTCTCGATGAGGTCGAAATGCGGTGGAACATGATACACGATTGGGGGCTGTTTTGCAGCGTTCCAAAGATTACAATCTTAGATTGAAGAGGTCCAGGAAGAGGTGAAGTTCCATAATTAGCCATGTGTTCTCCCATGACGGTTTGAAAACAAACCCAGAAAAGGTCAGAGCAATAGTTTGCTTTACACCGTTTCCCTTCTTTGTTAACAGCGTCAAAGTAACCTGTACACCGGCTGTATTTGTTGGAATAAAAGGCTTGCTGGTTCAGGCATATTAGCTCCTTCAACTAAAGAGAAATCCAGAGCTCATCCCTAGGGTAGACTTTAATTGACCTTTCTTCTACCAGAGTACTGTTTACTTGGAATTTTTCCTCACAAATGGGTTGTTTGGTAACGCATTGCCAGTCAATATTAGCGAACTACTGACTGAGGCGCGCCTTGTTGGTGTCTCTTATGTCTCTAATTGGATGTTTTTTTTTTTTGCTGGTTGGGTACTCTTTCTTTTGGCTTTGAAATGATTGTAGAGTGGTTTGAGTGACCAGATGGTGGTTATTTGTCAGGAATTGAAAAGTGATCGCTTATATGGTTAAGATTACGTCGAGCGTAGCCTGACCTCTTTTGGAAATATCACAAGTTGTTTCAACTTAAAATGGTTCTATAAACGGTTAGTGTCTGAGCGGTTGAAGTCACCGGTGACGGTTATCCCACAGTTGCTCAACATAGCTTCTGCAGCAAACAAGTTGTCGAACAGATGGTCAATTAATTTCTGCAGGACTAATCCGACTCTGATAAAACCCTCGAGAAGATCTTGTAGGGTTAATCTTGAGACAAACAAGTTCTTGAGTCTTCTTTCCTAACGCCGCCATATTGGACAACCAGTGGACCCTGGGGACGAGGTTAATTATGTGTCTAAAGTCGACTTATTTTGAAAAAAGGCGATTCAATTTGAACAATAAAAGGTATCTTAAAAGTGAAAAGTGTGGGAAGGACAATTGGGTAAAAGTTAGAATTCGTTCCATGATGCTACCTCATGTGTTTTATGTTTTGGATTCCAACCAACTAGATTCTTTTAAACTTTAAATTTATACTGTCCATGCTTCCATTTTTTTCGGTAAAATTGTCCAGATCGAAGACTTTACGAGCGGCCACCTTGGATGAGGGTCAAACCTACTTAGGGGGCGGGAGAACGTTTTTGAATATGGTTTAAAACACACCGCTTTACTTGTCTTAAACATTACGTAAACAACATAGTCTATCTTCTCGAAGTCAAAACGGCAGGTCGGTCGAGGCTAGAATTGCCGTTCTCGGTTCCCTCTTATTTCAAACTTTTCGAAACGTAGTCTGGAATAAAGGTGAGCACCAAATTTATGGAACGTATATAGAACCTTGTAGTCAGGATACAACTGAAAAAACAGTAATCCCACAAAGTTAAAAAAGGAGGTCAATTTTGCCTGTGTTATGACGTCATAGACGAAAGAAATAAGTTTTAGAGACACCGGAAAACTTGTAGCTAGCTTTAGCATATTTAATTAAAGGTATTGAATCGTCTCGGTTTCTTTTTCTATTTCAGATTGCAAGACACCATGCTCATACAGTGGTTCGATTGTGTATTGGGGAGTTGAAAACAATTGTGACTGCTCTAACAAGAGTAAAGCAGTTGATTTTGATCTTCTGAAATGCATTCCAACGACCACTTCAAATCTGTAAGTAACAATTACAATGGTTCCCAATTACAATCGCCCTCGACAAAATGACGCCATTACCTATTTCACTTGCAGGAATAATAATAATAATAGCAATAATAATAAGAAGAAAAATGAAATAACAAAGAAATAGCCAATAAAGAAATAGCCACTTGTTTCCAGGCTACTGGTCAACTTGAAGGTCTTCAGTTTCCCCTATGGTTTTCGAAAGGTAAGACAACTCTTATCCCCAAGCCTAGTGAGTTCAGAAGTGACAACCAACGCTCTTTCACCTGCCTGAATAACTTGTATAAGTGGTACACCCCATGTCTGTTAGCCCAGGCTAACCAAAACATCGAAACTTATGGATTAATACAACGTGAGCAGCGTGGTGCAACGGGCAACAGCGATACTTTACGTGTCTAGGATGCTCGGTGAAAGAGGTCTCCAGGACAATGAATACAAGAACACTAAGATCAAAGCAGCCGTAAAGCTCTATTGCAACGCCGACCTTACGATGGCAGCCGTAGGATCGTTTGAAGAGCTAGCCGTACAGAATGAACACCACTCCATCATTAAAGATGATAAGAAGTACGCAGAGGAGCTGGATGTACAGTTGTGGTTAAACTTCACTAACCCAGTTACTGTCGCGATGGTAGAGAAGTTAAAGCGAAGAAGGAAAAGCAGGCAATCTACAAAGCCCGCCGGCAGGAGATACATTCAACGTACCTGAGGAGAGATGGCAAGGGAAGCTTGTCAAGAACAGATGGGACGACGAGAAAGTTAAACTGGAGGAGTGCTTTGCGACGCTTTCTACATGGGAGAGTACAAAAGCTTTACCAACAACTGTCACTGATGAAAAGTGCCGCCTTTGCGGGGATTCCCTGGAGAATGTGCAGCACATTCTATCTGCCTGTAGTGCACTGGCACAGACTAAGTACCTACAGAGACATAACAATGCTTTCAAGATCTTATTCTTTGAAGTCCTTAGATCTTTAGATCTCATTACTAAAGTTGAACCGTGGTTCTCACAAGTCACACCCAAACCGCTGTATTAGAATGAGCATGCAACGCCTTCATCATGAAAAACATCATCATGGATGTCCCTGGAGGCT